CTGTCAAATACTAATGCATGAAAATCCTAACCTCAAAAAAATCACCCTATATTATATGTTTACTAAAAAATCCCATGCCGAAATAAGTAGATACTATGTATAGCTTCCGCCCGATTTATATATGTATGGGCAATATTCACTGTAGTAGACTTGGTCTTTTTTCGAGTTAAAAACTTGTCTATAGTAGATTGTTGTGATAAAAAGCACAATAAATCACTGATAAAAGTATTGAAAGCAAACTTGCATTTATATTTGTATGTGTGTGTTCGTGACTAAATTTGTCGATATATCTTATTTCTGATTAAAATATTGTTAAGCCCGCTATATGAATGTCTTTACGCAGTCTTATTTTATGCAGTGCAAACAATTATTTTGAGGTAAATGAGTCAGAAACAAGTAAGAGCAGTTCGTATCCCTCAATAACATCAGAAAATGTTACTTTAACAGTGCAGACGATATTTAGGTAGGCCTTCTTAAATTAAGCCATTCTAAAAGGCCTACTCTCAAGAAGGGATGAAGAAAAAGCTTCCCTGCATGGATTCTAGAAGGGCTTTTTCTATTTACAATTTACGCGAAAGTATAAGCTTATATTATTTAGCATAGATAGATAGAATGTTAGAGGCTGTGCACTGCGACCTTAGGTCTATTGTGCCCTTTAGCATTACAAATGAATTTAAAAATGCATTTTAGATTGCAATAAAATATATTGGATATGAACCTTAAATAAAACCTTTAAAGAAGAAAAATGTTTATGAATTAAAGGAGCGGTTTTATAAGAACTCCTCCAAAGGCCTTCTAAAATACGTCCTACAAAGCCCTTCTCATGATGAGAATCTTGCAAGTTTCCCTGCCAGCTGTTGTCCATGGTTGCACTTGAAACATAATAAATTTTTATGGAATTTTTAAAAATCTTTCAGATGGACAAAAAACAGGATGTACATGTTTATTTCTTGTTGTTCTGACTTTCTTTAACATACATTCCAATTTCTCTATCGTACTAGCTGTCGAGTTTCTTTAATCGACTTTGGTTGCAAAACTGCATACTCAAAAAAATTCTAAAAAAAATTTAAAAATTTGTAAGTTTGTAATGTACTCATTTTACTCAACTTCGGTGTAAAAAAAATGCATAACTCAAATTATTGTAGAGGGGTGCCATTACCATTGTGATTTTTTTTTTTTTTGAGATTGCATATTTTCTAAAACCAATTTTTTTATCAAAAAATGTGTATGTGAAAAATTTTTCAAGAAAAAAATTTTTACTTGTTTCTTTTCATAGAGAATTTTGATGTGTGTATGTGGTATTTTCGAGATATTTGGAAAACTAATAAATCGATTTGTTTTGGTTTTTAAGCTGTAAAGTTTTTAAAAATGTATTAATCAAGCTAAAATTACATATTTATTTATTATTTATGTTTATGCATCAACCCTTAAAATTTGAAACAAATTAAACAAATGAAGTATGAACCCCGCCCGCTTTGGCATGGAACACCCCATATGCATAATATTGCACTAAAATCCACGTACAAATCATACTGAATAAATGTAGTATATAAAATAAATCACGCTGTCGCATATTTTTTATTATAAGTACATGACAATATTATTTATATCGTGCATACATGCATGCATAAGCATGAAGGTTTGTTTTGAAATTCATTAAACATTTGTGCGTTTTATGTTTCTTGTACGCTGTGGCTCTCAAGTTCATTTGTTGGCCAACATATCTATACATACATAGTAAGTACATACATAACTGCATGTAGCAATGATCAATTTCATTGCACTGCACTTGTATTGTAAATTACAAAGCAATTAAAAAATGAAATAAAACATAAAACAAAAAGCTAAGAAGAGGTATGAACCTACATAAATAGCAAAAGAAAGCAAAGATCTTGAAATGGAAAGCCATCGGTGGGTTGTTAACTAGAGGTGGCGATATTTGGAATATTTTTTTAATTTATTTATATTTTTATTTTGAGATTTTTAATTTCATCTCGGGATCCCGCAGTCATCCGATTAGATTCAATATGTTTGCATTCTCGATATTTTTTAGTTTTGTAACGGTATTCACAAAAAATAATAACACGCTGGCTTACTCGGTAAATTCAGTAGCGTTTTTTCTCTATTAAGTGTGGCTGCAAGCTTGCGTCTGCCTTATAGCAGCAAAAACGTCCACCCGATTTAAAACATCAATGTTTTTTCTCCGATTTATATATGTATGTATATTGTTAGGAACTATTTGACATAATCCCATATGACATTCGTTTAATGTTGAGCCTAGCAATTAGAACAGACCAAAACCACATTATATAGAGGTTTTACTGTATTTCAAACAGTTTCAGGGTTTTACCTGTTTTCGAGATTATCATACATAGTACGCACATTGATTCTACACTATCAAAGAGCACAAAACGAATGGCAATGCGAACGAAGGCTTTTTGCTTTGTATTTTTATTTTAGTTTTTTTTTATGGTCTGCGCTATGCGAATGCCCGGATGAGTGCGCTTACCACCACTCAACGAAACAATAAACAATCAAAAAGAAAGCAATTCAGCATTTAAACATATTAAAACATAAATGCGCACAACGTAGTCTCCTACAACATTACGATATGGATAGCTATCAGTCTGAGTACTTTCTATTTAGTCATTAGTAGATATGTATGTATGTAGGTACATAAGTACTTAGTATTGCGGTATGCTGTAGTGAAAATACGAATACACATTTGAATTATAGACGCTTTTATATTAGCAGATGAAATGAACGCCATGGTTGGATGGTTGGTTGGTCAACTGTTGAAATGCGTAGGCTATTTATCGTTTTGGCGCTGCGCAGTTGGAACTCTGCCCTGATTAGTTATGATTTTTCCAACAATGTAACTAAGCATAACTTTGGTTTTGTTGTTATGTATGTATGTATGTAGATACGTACCTCTATCCGAAAGGTGTGCGTTGTGTCATCTAAAAGCAGGACAGTGACACATTGTTGGCGTTGTTGTTTCTTATCGCGCGCCAGTTCTTCACTTCGTAAACGACAATTTGCACTTAAATTACCCAAACGAAAACGTTCAAGCATCGCATTTGTCCATGGCAATGTAAGAGCAGTTTATGAAGATTCTCTTAAAAATAAATCTATTGCTTACGGCTTAGATATTTCCTATTATAATTATGAATGCAAGTATTTTTCGGCAAAAGTGGTGTTGGATCGCCGCTAAGTTGCTTGGCTACTTGGCTGGTTTATAATTTCATTGACAGGGGATATATTCGATTTGATTGTACTTTATGTATGTATATATGAACATACATATAACTTTCGCAGTTTTTAATGGACCTCTTACATTAATCAATGCTAATTGTGATGGACGTTGTTGACCACTAATTGGATGGATTTATGTGATGGATTATGTTATCTGTAATTAAAAAAAAAAAAGTATTTACAATTAATTAATTGTATAGGTATATTAATTAAGATGTTCAATAAAATATTTCACTCTTTCAAACATATACATATTTCATTATCTTATTTAGGTTTTTTTATTGCGCTTCCTTTTAGTTCTTAATTTTTTGTTTATTTTTATTTTTATTTTTTTATTTTACAATACACATTCTTCGTTCATGAGTTTTGCTACTCGATGGAACACATGTCCACATTCATACGTCTATAAACTAAATAAAAACATTCAGAATGACATAGTATGTATGTATGTATGAATGTAAATATACTTGGTTGTATGAATATTAATTAATATACCATGTCGTCATTGTGTTCCCCTATGTATATTTGTATATTCTTACATCCAATTCACTGGCAAATGACTCCCGGTCCGAATAAGTCCATATGCACATATGTACATACATATGTACATACGTATGTGTAGTATGCGAAGGAAAAAGTGAAAAAAATGTCATCACTTCCGGCTGGCACTGATGAGCAAAGTTAAACTTTGCCAATACGATTTATGTGGATATCTAAATACTTATGTACATATGTACCAGGGTAGCCAACTAATTTTTCGTAATTCTTCGATTTCGACAATGAAATTCCCCGATTTTCTCCGAAATTTCATAAAATTCCCCACCCATAGATATCCGCTTATTTACAAAAAACTTTTATGTCTTTTGATACATTGCTGGTCTTTCTCTTTATTGTATTCATATGTATGTATTTAAAAACCAAACCAAACGTTTATAAAGTTAGTTAGCAAATAAAGAATAAAAAATGTACCTACAATATAGTAGTACATACATACAGTAGTCGAAAAAATGCAGTCGATCCCAATTTGGAGCAGTTATCACAATTATAAATTTTTTTTTGTTATTTAATTTTACTTATTTTTTTAATATGATTCGTTCTTTAACAAATCCATATAAATCCATGATTCATGCTTTATTCAATATTAAAAAAAAAAAATATTCAACAAACTTTCGTAAAAATTTCGAGCTTTTTATTTTTAATTTTCTAGAAAGATTTTTGAAAGCTTTGAAGCCAACTCAATTCTAGTGTAATAAAAAGCAAATTTCAAGTGGCTGAAAATTAGTTAACACCTAATTCCAAAAAAAAAAAAACAGTTCAAACCCCGATTTCCTACGTAAACTGAAATTCCACACAAAAAACGTTCCTTTCTTCGATTCCCTCCGCAAACTGAAATTCCCCGCAAATCGAGGAATTCCCGACGAGTTGGCTTTCCTGATAATGTACATAGATACATATGTACATTCTACATTAAATATGTGTGAACCTATGTTGTATGTATATACATATTTACATATGCACATGTGTACATACATACATATTTCCATGCAAGCATACTTCTTACAAACTCACACCCTAGACATAAACATAAGCGCAAATG